TTACCTTGGGTCCCAGAGACAGCTTTACCTGGGAACACGTATAGCTTCCAGTGATTTTTTCCTTGGGTCCCAGAGACAGCTTTACCTGGGAACACATATAGCTTCAGTGATTTGTTTACCTTGGGTCCCAGAGACAGCGTGTGTCAGAGGTGGGATTTGAACCCGAGACTGCTCTTACCTTGAGGCCAGCTCCCAATCCATCACACCATGTTGTCTCTACTTAATATATACACAAAATAAATACAAAGTTATTGGGAGGTGGGGGTGAGGAGGAGGAGGCGGTCACTAATGACTGAGGAAATCAGAAAATGTCTTTTAAAAGAAGTAGAGGAAGGGGTAGCTAGGTGGCATAGTGGATAGAGCACTAGCCGTGGAGCCAGGAGAATCTGAGTTTAAATCCAGCCTCAGATACTTACTAGCTGGGTGACCCTGGGCAAGTCACTTATCCTTGATTGTTTCAACAACAAAAATGTTGAACTTTAGAACTTAAATCCTTGATGACAGTTTCTTGTTCTATGTGCGGCCTTAATCTCCCTTTAAAAAAATTAGAAGATCAAAGATCTCAAGGGGCTTTGCCTTGTAATCCTCATCCTCTAGCCTTGGTAGGGCCAGTCTCTGGCACTCCATAGGCCTGAAGCCCGTCCAAAGCAGCCTAACAGGTCACTCTCACCAGAGTCATCAAGATGGAAATTTTCACACACCTAACTGATCACAATGTAAAGGGATTATTGTTCATTTACTTCTATTTTAAGGCTTCTTCCCCCAGGCTTATCCTGCCAAGGTTCCCAGAACTCAGAGCTTTGGGTACCCTGGGATGCTTCAGACAGATCTTTTTCCATATAATCTTCAGCATTTCCAAGGTTACACAGCAATGGTGCCCCCAGAGACTGTAGTCCTATTCTAATGCTGCTGAGACAGAACCCATCTACCCCATCCCCAATCCATTTAGGAAGAAAACGGAAGCTCTCTGCAGAAAACCAACTTGAAATTTCTCTGCAAATCAGGGGATGAAAATTGTCTTTCCTGTAAGACAGTCCCTTGAGACACAGAAGCTTTGTCTTCTTCTTTCAGACACACACGTACATGCAGAAACAACTATTCCTTCCCAGCTGAGAGGTTTCTTATCTTCCAGGAGCGCATTTCAAGGCTCCCACTAGATTCTCCCTCGAGAAATATTATTGTTGTTGTCAATCATTTCAGTCATGTCTGACTCTTCATGACCCCATTTGAGGTTTTGACCACAAAGACACTGGAATGGTTTGCCATTTCCTTCTCCAGCTCACTTTACAGATGAGGAAACTGAGGCAAACAAGGTTAAGTGACTTACCTAGAGTCACACAGCTAATGAGTGTCTGCATTTCAACTTGGGTCTTCCTGACTCCAGGCCTGGTCTTCTATCTACAACAACAAAAAACAGGGCACCTAAATCTATAATACTCCATATGGGGGCTGACCAGGGCAGAGGACAGTCTGACTATAACCTACCTTGTTCTAGGTCTGGGGTTCTTAATTTAAGAAGCAGATCTTCCTTATGGATCTATGAATATAGATGAATGAATCTATGGATATAATTTAGAGAGTCTCTGATTTTAAAAAAATAGTTCCATAACTATATTTCAATACAATTGTTTCTTTTTGTAATCCTATGTATTTTATTTTGTGAATTTCAAACCGTTATTCTGAGAAAGGGTCCATAGGCATTAACCAGACTGCCAAAGGGCACCATGACACCAAAAAAAAAAAATTAGGAATCTTTGTTCAAGATACTATGCTTCTCATGCTATTTTTCACTTTCTTTTTTTTCTTTTATTTGAGTCTTCTTGTATAAAATGACTAATATGGAAATGTTTTACATAATTACACGTGTTATTGCTTATTGTCTCAGTGACAGGGCAGAAAAGGGAGGGAAGGATAGAATTTGGAACTCAAAACTTTAAATACCAACGCTTAAAAAGTGGGGGGGGGGGCAGAGATACTATGCTTCTTTGAGGGACGCTAAATTAATTTTTTTGGCTTCTATGTGAATTCGCATGTGCTTCTTTAACAGGTACTCAGCTCCTGTTGGAAGCCTGCATCTCAGCTAATGTGCCTATCTTCCTCCACACCAGCTCTGTGGAAGTGGCCGGCCCCAACTCGTATACGAAACCCATCCAAAATGGGCATGAAGATGACCTCCTTGAAAGCAAATGGCACAATGCATATCCCTATAGCAAGAAACTGGCTGAGAAGGCTGTGTTGGAGGTTGATGGACAGCTTCTCAAGAATGGCACCATAATGCACACCTGCTCCTTGAGGCCCGTGTACATATATGGGGAGAGGAGCTTTTTTCTCCGACATGAAATAATCAAAGCCCTTAACAAAGATAAGACCATTGAAAGGAATAGGGAGGGTTCCATGGCCAGCCAAGTCTATGTTGGAAATGTGGCTTGGGCACACGTCCTGGCACTCAGAGCCCTGCGGGACTCTGAGAAGGCCCAAAGGGTTGGGGGTGAGTTCTATTACATCTGTGATGATACACCCCCCCAGAGCTATTCTGATTTTAACTATGAAGTGAGCAAGGAATGGGGCTTCAAACTTGGATCAAAAATAGGCATTCCTCTAACAATACTGTATTGGGCAGCCTTCCTGTTGGAGATGATAAGTTTCGTGCTACGCCCTATTTTCATTTATGAACCACCCTTCAATCGGCATCTGCTAACATTGACCAACAGTGTTTTTACTTTATCCTACAAGAAGGCCAAAGAGGATTTGGGTTATGAGCCTCGCTTCAGCTGGCTAGAAGCCAAGCAGAAAACCAGTCAGTGGATAGGCACAGTGGTGGCACAGAACAGAGAGTGTCTGAAGACAAAGGCCCCCTGATCTGGACAGGTAGGGGCAGAAGTTCATGAAATCACTGCTTTAGACCCTCCCCTTACTGGGGTATATCATCCAGTACCTCCCCTGGCTAGCAAACTTCTGGCTCTGCCTCACAAACATCCCTTTCTTCCTCCTCACCCAATGAAGCCCCTAGAAGACAGGGTGAAAAAAATGAAATTAAATACAAACTCATTGATTTATTCCATGGGTTGTTTTCCAAGCCACAAATCTTTGCTCTGATAAGGATGTTATAAAATAGCAAGGTGTCCTTGACTTCCTGTTTCTTATGTTTCTTTCCTACTCATGGTATAGCAAACTTTTGAAACCATTTGTATCTTAAGATATGCAAAAAAAATTAATTCATGTTTAATAAAGATGATGAAAAATGTCTAATGTATTTATTTTGCCTAGGATTTAGGATAATCCCTGCCTAGACTTTCTTCCACTGCCAGGAAAATCAAGAGTCTACCCTTACCACACTGAATAATGGAGTTTCATCTCTATTTTAGATTCAAGTCAAGAGCACCCCAAGAACCCATGGGTTTACAAAGGTCAAATTTTATTTTGAAGATTTTCTCAAAAACAAACTCATCTCTTTGGCTCATTTTAGCCCCACTCTGAATTTCTTCTAGGAACCACTGTCTATGTATAAATCTGGGTAAATGGTCCCCCAGTTCCCATGCAAGTCCACAAAGTTGCAATATATTTTGGTAATAGGATGATCTTTATTTTACCCCACAAAAAAGGCAGAAAACCCAGACTCCACAATAGCCTGTCAACGATTAACACAATTCTCCCATTCTACTAAGTCTCACCTTCTCCCAATAGTACTATCCTCCTATTTGGATTCCCCTCCAAAGGAGAGTAAATTTGGAGATGATAGAGAGGCTACCCCCTCACCCTCCAATATTCTAGTGAGTCCCCAGACTTTACCCCAGGGGTCTATACAATCCTCCAAACTTATGGCACTAACCTAAGAGCTTGCAGTCACCACATCAAAATCAAATTATCTTAGGGCTATTCCAGAGGCATTTCCTTCTCACAGGATCTGCACCATCCAAAAATACAGAATGGTGAAGTGCAGAGACCAGGACTTGTTGCTTTCCTGTATCATGGCTCAGTCTCTTGAAGTTTTTCCATCATTAGGGCCACGTTTCCCGTCTGCCCCTAGAGGATGGTACTACACACAAGCTTCCTCTTCTTTCTCCGGAGTGGGTCAAGGATCCCTGAAAATGGGGTTACCAGACAGATAACCCCCTCCCCATCAAACCTGCATTGTTCAAATAACTCCCAGTGCGAGTGGAGGGAGGAGGTCACAGACTTTTGCTGCTTTTCTACCTCTGGGGCCACTTGATACTTTTCTTCCCCAAGAGGCTGGTGCCACCCAACAGCTTCTGTCTCTAGACAGCCAAAGTTTCAAGAGCTCTTGACGTTCTCCCAGAAGCCTGGGGTTCAGGAACTCCCACTATGTGGCCACTGGGTGCTCCTCTCCTCTGCCACATCATTGACAGTGAACACAATTGAAACATGCCACTATCACTGGTCTCTCTATGCCTGGATGCAGGCACAGAAGGCCACTGTATCACTGCCATCAGCTGTAATGGTCTCGTAGTTGGACATTAGGACATTGGTCAGTCTCTAAGAAGCTATGCCACTCTACAGACACCTCCCAGTAACCCAGCAATCCACTCTTAGGTTTCAAGAGGTCTATGTCTCTCTTTGGTCTTAGAGCCATCAAAATGAGAATTATCACTTACTTAACTCACCTCATTATAAAGGTATAACTGTTTATTATAAAGGTATAACTGTTCATTCTACTTTTTAAGCACTCTTCCCCCAATCTCATTCTGCTAAGGTTTCTGAAGCTTAGAGCTTTGAGTACCCTAGGATGCTTCAGGCATATCTGGCCCTATGTCATCTTGAGCAATTCCAGGGCTACACAATAATGGTGTCTCTGGGAACCAAAGTCCTCACAGCTCTGTTTTCTGATCTGTGCTTGACTCTCTCAGGATCTCCTGGAAAAGGGATAAAGAAAGGAATAACTAAAAGTACTGAAAACAAACTTCACCTGTTCCAGTATTATCCTTAGAAATAGTTATCTGGGAGAATGGTGCTGCCCTCACTAGTAATATGGAAGTTCAGAAGAGGAGAGGGTTTGGGAGGAAATATGATTATTTCTGTTTTGGGCATGTTGAGTTTGAGATGCCTAGGGGAAATCCAGTTTGAGATGTCCAGTAGGCAGTTGGTTCTATGGTACGCAAGAAAAAGAATAGCAAAAGATATACAGATCTGGGGATCATACGCATTGGTCTGTAATTGAACCCTTGGAAGCCAAGATTCAGTGAGATTCAAGTGAGACAGTATGGAAAGGGCCCAGGATATGGATATGTGTTAGGGGGTACTCATAGTTATTGAATGTGATGTGGCTAAAGATAGGAAAAGGAATGGGGTAAAGACAATTCCAAAAGACTCATGATGGAAAATTCTATCCACACCCAGAGAAAGAATGATGGAGTCTGAATGAAGATCGAAGCATGTAATTTTCACTTTATTTTTTTTCATTTTTTTCCTTTTGTTCTTCTTTCATAATATGACCAACATGGAAATATGTTTTACATGATTGCACATATATAACCTATATTATATTGCTTACCATCTTAGGGAAAGGGGAGGGGAGGGAGTAAAAGAATTTGGAACTCAAAATTTTTTTTAAAAATGAATGTTAAAAATTGTCTTAAAAAAATAAAATAAAATAAAAAATCAAAAAAATTGTCTTTACATGTAATTGAAAAAATAAAATACTATTTAAAAAAAAAGAAAAGGAATGGGGTAGAAGACTTTACCCAAGATCTTCCAGATGGTGAAAAATATTGCAAGATCAATAATAACAGCTTATATCTGTATAGCTCATAAAGGTTAATAAGAACATCATCATCATCATCAATAAAGATGATGATGGTGGTGGTAGTGGTGGTGGTGGTGGTGACGGTGGTGGTGACAGTAGTTGTACTAATAATAGTAACGATCCTTTATCTAGCTCTTTGAGGCTGGCAAAGTACTTTTTATATCTTAACTCATTTGACACCAACAACAACCCTGTGAAGTAGGTGCTATTATTATCCCCATTTTACAGATGAAGAAACAGAGGCACAGAGCCATTAAGTGACTTTCACAGGGGTCACACAGCTAGGAAGTATCTGAGGCAGGATTTGAACTCAGATATTCCTGATTCTAACTCCTGTGCTCTGTTCACAGTGGCACCACCTATCTGCCATGCTTTATCCCATTTGATCTTCAGAGCAACATACATGGTTTTATCCAGCAAATATTATTGCCATCATTACGACTGCCATTTTGCTGATGAGAAACAAGGTGAGTGGTAGAGCCAGGTATTCTCAGTAAGTCCAGGTCTCCTTCTGTTTTACTTACAGTGCCTTTCTAATAGGATGCTGTCTACCCAGCTCAGTCTCACATTCCTCATTTGCACATATTTCCCATTTTTGTGAGAATAATCAAAGCATGAAATGAAGTTATGGGTTGAAGTTCATCTTTAGACAGTGGACTGGACTAAATATGTGCGTGTGTGTGTGAGAGAGAGATAGAGAGAGAGACAGAGACAGAGAAACATAGAGACAAACAGAGACACAGAGACAGCAAATGTCCCAATATTGGGGCAATATTTGAATCGCACAATCTCAGAGTTAGTTAGAAAAAAAAAACCATTACGAGTTATCTCTTCCAATCTAAAGCTGAACTGGAATCTCTTATAGAATGTACCCAGAATGTGGTCATCCAATGTTGGCTTGACCTCTAGAGACAAGGCAGTAGCACATTCTACTTTCAGACAGCCCTAATAACCAAAAAACAAAAATAAACAAGAAACCCCACACATTTACCAGTCTCGTTAAATTTATCAAAGTGCTTTCCTCACAAATGTGGTAGGAATGATGTGCGTTTTAATGTAGTCTGGCTCAGTGCCTCTTCAAGGGAACCGAGAGACTATCTTTAGAATTTGACTAGTTCCCCCAAAGGAAAACTCCTAGGAATATTGTAGCTAAATTCCAGAGTTCCCAGGTCAAGGAGAAAATATTGCAGGCAGCCAGAAAGAAACAATTCAAGTATTGTGGAAACAATCAGGATAACACAAGATTTAGCTGCTTCTACATTAAGGGACCGCAGGGCATGCAATATAATATTCCAGAGGGCAAACGAGACAGGATTACAACCAAGAATCACCTACCCAGCAAAACTGAGTATAATTCTACAGGGGAAAAAATGGTCATTCAGTGAAATAGAGGACTTTCAGGCATTCTTGATGAAAAGACCAGAACTGAATAGAAAATTTGATTTTCAAATACAAGACTCAAGTGGAACATGAAGAGGAGAGGAGATGGACATTCAACAAAATAGGGGACTTCCATACCTTCCTGATAAAAAGACCAGAGGTTAACAGAAAATTTGATCTTCAAATACAGGTCAGGACAGACATAAAAAGGCAAATGGGACAGAAAGATACAGTATGTTGCTAATAAGGGCAAACTGTTTACATCCCTACAAGGGAAGAAGACATTTGTAACTGTATTGAGAACTGTATTGTTATTACACCATGTTAAAGGGGTATACATAAAGGGGGTGGGTATAAATTGACTTTGATAAAATGATGAAACAAAATCTAATCAAGTGGGTTAAATGGATCCAAGTAAGTGAATTAATCTGATCTAAGAAAATGTACTGAGAGAATAGGAGAGGAGGAGGCAGAAAAGGGTAAATTACATCACAGGAAAAGGCACAAAACCCTATTACAGCAGAGGGAAAGAAGGGAGGGAGATGAGCATTGTTTGAACCTTACTCTCATCAGATTTGACTCAAGAAGGGAATAACATAATAAGTTAGGCATAGAAATCTAACATGCCCTATAGGTAGTAGGAGTGAAAAGGGAAAAGAAAAGGGAGGGGGTTAATAAAAGGGAGGTGGGACTGAGGGAGGTGGTAGTCAAAAGCAAAACATTAGTGAGGAGGGAAAAGGAAAAAGGAGAAAGTAAAGCATAAATGGGGGGGACGGATGGAGAGAAAGACACAGATAGTAATCACAATTGTGAATGTGATATATAAATGTAATGGAATACTATTGTGCTATAAGAAATGATGAACAGGCAGACTTCAGAAATACCTAGAAAGACTTGCATGGTTTGATGCTGAGTGAAGTGAGCAGAACCAGGAGAACATTGTACACCGTAACAGCCACATTGAGTGATGACTGATTTTGATAGACTTAACCCCTCTCAGCAATACAAGGATCTAAGACATCTCCAAAAGCCTCATGATGGAAACTGCTATCCACATCC